TGAACTTGAAGATAGGACAATAGAATTTACTCCATCCGAACAACCGAGAAAATTGACCAGAAGAAAATGAACAGAGCCTTTGGGGGCTGGTGGGACTATAGGGAAAGACTGTTAAAGATTCATGTTATTGAAGTCCCAGAAGGAGAAGAAAAAGAATGTGGGTTGGAAAATTATTCAGAAAATAATGACTGGAAATTTTTCAAATTTGTCCAAAGACACAAACCAACAGATCCAAGAAGCTGAGTGAACTCCAAACAAGATAAATTCAAAGAAATATATGCCAAGACACATCAAGTCCTAAAAAATAAAGACAAAGGACAATTCTGGAAAGGAGTGAAGGAAACTAATACCTTCCTTACTAGGGAAAAACAATTTGAATTGCAGCTGATTTTTCATCAGAAACCATGAAGACCAGAAAGAAGTGACACAGCATTTTTCAAGAACTGTCACTCTAGAAATCTAAATCCAGAATACACATCTTACTGTGGGGAAACTAATAGAATTTGTCACCAGTAGACATACCTTAAAAGAATGGCTAGAGAAAGGTCTGTAAATAGAAGTGATAAAAAGAATCTTGGGGCATTAGGAGGAAAAAAGTACAACAGAAAAAGTAAAGCCATGAGTAAAAACATTAGATTTTCCTCCTTTTATTGTTCAGTCGCTCAGTCATGTCCAACTCTTTGTGGCCCTATGGACTGCAGCACACCAGGCATCCCTGTCCTTCACCATCTCCCAGACTTTGCTCAAACTCATGTCCATTGAGTCGGTGATGCCATCCAACCATCTCATCCTCTGTCGTTTCCTTCTCCACCAGCCTTCAATCTTTCCCAGCTTCAGGGTCTTTTCCAATGAGTCGTTCTTTGCATCAGGTGGCCAAAGTGTTGGAGCTTCAGCTTTAGCATCAGTCCTTCCAATGAATATTCAGGATTGATTTCCTTTAGGATTGACTGGCTTGATCTCTTTAGAGTCCAAGGTATTCTCAAGAGTCTTCTCCAGCACCACAATTCAAAAGCACACTCCTTTTGAGTTTTCGGAATTATGTTGATGGCTACAGCAGAAATTATAACATGAATAGTCCTCTGCTTCAGGACACAAATGTGTATATACAGCAAAGAAACTATGTATGGAAATAAAACTAGAAAAAAATATGGCAAAATCTTAACAGTAGTTGTTTCTAGGAAAGGAAATTATGGGTGGTTTTCTCCTTTAGTTTTTTTGTTGACACTTTTTTGTTTTTGCCTGATTGTCTCTGTAAGCATGCTTGCATAGTTAGAAAACAGGAAGCACACTGCAGAACGAAGAAGAGTTAAATGAGAAAAAAGCAGATTGCTCCTGGAGAAGAGAGAGCAAAGCAATTCATAACCCTCAGGGGAATTTAGGAGGACTTCATGGAAGAGATGGCATTTGATTTACTACCTAGAAGGGTGGATGGGGTGGAGAGGGTCAGGAGAGAAATTTTAAGTTGGAAAAATGACAAAGATGACAAAGTAGAGGACACTTCAGCAAGGATGTGAGGCTAACCTGGAGGAGTTATGAGGGACACACAGGAGGGACACTGCAATTACTGGAAGGGTCCCAAAAGAGCCTTCTGTACTTGGCAGGCACCAGAGTAAAAGGCAAATCATGTGTGAATCTTTTTTTTTCCGTTTATTTTTATTAGTTGGAGGCTAATTACTTTACAATATTGTAGTGGCTTTTGCCATACATTGACAAAATCATGTGTGAATCTTGTGGACTGAGAGACCTTAGGACCTTGGCCCTTCTGGTAAATATGACACCTCCTGCTTGGGCCCAAGCTTGAAGCAGACGGATGCTAACGAAAAGCGCACTCACCCAGCCGCCTTCTTTCATAAAGGAAACCCGGGTGCCTAGTCCCAGCTTGAGCTCGTTCTTGCCCTTGCCTTCCTGGACTTTCTCCTTCCTCCTTTCCTCTTGTGCTGACAGTGTAGCTTCTCTCCATCGTTCTTCCCATCAGCTCTCCCCATGCATGCGTGCTAAGTTACTTCAGTGGTGTCAAATTCTTTTGCAACCCCGTGGACTGTAGCCCGCCAGGTTCCTCTGTCCGTGGGATTCTCCAGGCAAGCGTATTTGAGTGGGTTGCTATGACCTTCTCCAGGGGATCTTCCCGACCCAGGGATCGAACCCGGGTCTCCTGCAGCTCCTGTATTGCAAGAGGATTCTTTACCGCTGAGCCACCGGGGAGGGCCGCTGCTATCCCCACTGAAACCAAATGCCACTTTCCCTCCTCTCTTCCAGCTCTCTCTGTCATCACATTCTTCTTCACACTAAGACCTGTTCTTACCAGCCTGCCCCTCACACAGGCTCAGTCTGTCTCTGAAAAGCTCTCTCACTCCCATATTGTGTCTCTGTCCTTGTAAGTGTGTGTGTCTGTCTCTCTCTCTTTTGTTAATTTGGTTTTCATTTTTTTTCCATTTATTTTTATTAGTTGGAGGCTAATTACTTTACAATATTGTAGTGGCTTTTGCCATACATTGACATGAATCAGCCATGGATTTATATGTGTCTCTCTCTCTCTTATCCTCTTTCTCTACACTCTGGAGATGGCCTGGAGGAGGCAGTTACCAGTGTGAGCCTAAAGATGCGAAAAGGAGTGAGACTGTAGAAAAAGCATTAGAGGTGCCTATCCAGCCAGAAGAAGGTGAGTGTTGGGACTTTGGGACCAGAATCAAAGTGAAGGCGGCAGTCTGTCCTTGCCCTTGGAAGCAAGAGGGGAAGTATCTTTGCTGGAGGTTTGCTTTGTGACAGCACATGAAAAAGAGAGGTTTCTGTAGAGCAGGGCTAGTTCACATCTTGCCAAAGGCTGTTCTGTGCTGCCCTGAAACAGAGGACAGAGCCCCAGACGAGCTAGCCAGAGGAGCGGGACTCACAGGGGATCAACCACAGAGAGGCAGTGAGCAGGCTGAGAGCTGAGTTTGCAGTCAGCCTGGAAGGTGAGCGGTGACACCAGAGACGGGAAAGCTGGAGGACACTTGGGAAAGTGTGTGGCAGCCATGAGAATGCACTTCACAGGGCTCCACCTTCATTTTAGCATTACGGCCACTGAGGCTCAGCGAGAGCTAGTGATGAGCCCGAAGTCTCTGAGCTAACAAGTGGTAGAACAGGGCCTGGCACCAGGCTGCTGAGTCAATCTGGTGTCCTTTCCTGGGCACTAAGCTGCCCTATGTGTGGTCAGAGTTGGCTTCATGCTCTCTTAATAGCCAGAAATGCTCTGAGAAGATTTTATCCTTGCCACTCCCTGGACATTTTTTTTTCTTTATTTTCTTTTTTTTTCTTTATTTTCTTTTTTTTTTCTTTCAGTACAACAGTGCTCTCTCGTGCTCTGTGTGTGTGTGTGGTGTGTGTCAGTTCTTAGATCAACAACTGAATCTGATTCAGGGTTGCACAGCATAAGGAATGCCATTTTTCTTTAGGTGCTAAGGTTTCCAGTGTCATCACCCCTTACTTGCCCTTCAACTACAAGCAGGATCATGGCCCAGAAGCCAGGTTGAGGCTGTCCATGGTGGTGATATTGGGGTGAGGCTCCTTGGAGACTGGAAGTGGGGGGCAGCCTGAAGCCCAGCCCTCTTTTAGGGCACCTCTGGAGCTGGCCCCTTCAACAAACCTCAGGCAAAGTGGCTTCCCTGGCCATCCGTCTTCCCATATTTGGGACTGCCATGGTCATCTAGGGGATCTAGGCAGGGCTTCCTGTTTCCAGCCATCGTCAGGGGCACACGAGGCTGGACGAAAGGGGAGCTGGCTTCTCTTGTCTCCTAATTTCAGGCTCCTTAGCCTAGAAGTGGCTATGGCTGCTGCCAGGCACCCAGTTCCTGAGGAGCTGGTGGGTGGGGCTGTCGCCCCAGTCAATCCTCCCGCACCCTCCTCCACCCTGTTATCAACCTGGCAGTTTGTATATTTAATAGTATGACTAAGTGACAATTACATAACTCTTCTGCCCGAAGTTGTGCTAGAAAATGTTGTGGCTGAGAGATTTTTGTTTCTTACTTTCCAAGCTTGCCAGGACAGCCGCGTGTAAGTTCTCTCACTCTGCTTCGTGAATCAAACAGGATACTCTGCCAGATTCGGAACACATCTTCTCTCATGTATTTGGAGGTCAGGAGGATTGCCCATCCTTTCCCCAACCCCCTGAAATCAGTGGCACACCAGCCCGGACCCAGGGGGAACAGGAAGACCCTGTACTAAGTGACTGGCTTCAGGGCTCCTGAATTCCCCTGAAGTGAGGGCAGAAAACACACTTCCTCTGATGACAGGCAACCTGAATGCTGATAACAGGGCCTTCCTGCCCACTTCGCTTGCAGCTGTCTTCTTGGTCACTGAGCAGGCAGTGGAGCCCAGACTTCTGCATGTGGCCTTCAGCCTCCAGCTGGCTCCACCCCCTCTCCTGCCAACCAAGGATGCCAAGTCAGAGGCTCCTCTGCCCGCTGAGAAACAATGTTTCTAAGAGCTTTGGGGAGCTCTGCCACGAGTTAGTTGTGTGGCTTTAGACAAGAGCCCTCACCCCTCTTGTTCCTGTCTGCTGTCTGTTAAAGGGAGGAGACAGCAAGTTCACAGGCTCTGATAGAATGACAAGATCCAGTGGCCACGTGGACCCAATTCACATCTGCTGGCTCCAAGATGTAACCCCCAGAGTGAGTTCCATCTCCTGTAAACTCAGAGCTGTGGTGTGAGCGTACTCGTTCGCTGAGGTCAGCCGTCACTGGGATCCTTACCTTGTTGTATGTCTCTGCCTTGGGAGGTTGGAGGTCACTCCCCACATCCCTCTGACTTTGCCAAGTTTTGGCTATGGAGAGAGCATGGGACTCCAGAGTACCTGGTCCCAGGCCTGACTGCAGCTTCCTTGTTCTGTGACGTCCGGGCAAGCCCTTTGTCTTCTCTGGGCCTCAGCATCCTCTCTGAGAAATGAGAGATGAGCTGGCTGGGCCCTAATCTGTGGTTCCTCTGATCTTCCTGGGGCTCCTGCACTGGCAAGGACCTGTGCTCACCTAGTGGCTGGAGGGCCTTGGCTCAGGACAAGCTCCACTCCACATGCACTTCCAGACAGGGACCATGGCTCTCTCGACCTGTAACTTCCCAAGTGCTTCTGGGACTGTGGTTTGAAGGGGGAGCCTTGCCTGGTTCCCGCTGATCCCATGGAGGTGCAGAGTTTCCAGCCTTCAGCCCAAGACTACACCATCAACTTTCACCCGAGTGTCTGGCTTGCAGGCCTGTCCTGCAAATTCAGATTTTCCAACTCCCAGAAATCATGTGAGCCAATTTCTTAAGATGATTTATTGATAGATTAGATAGATAGAATGTGACCTTACTTGGAAATAGGGTCATTGCAGATGTAATTAGTTAAGATGACGTCATCCTGAAGCGGTCTGGGTCCCTCATCCACCATGACAGTTGTTCTTATATAGAGGAGAAATTTGGAGACATCATACATACAGAAGAATGTCACGTGAGCATGAAGGCAGGCATTGGAGTGATATTTCTACAAGCCAAGGAACGCCAAAGATTGTGAGCAAACCCTAAGAAGCTAGGAGAAAAGCATGAAAAAGATTCTCCGTCATAGGCTTCAGAAAGAATCAGCAGTGCCAAATCTTCATGTCAGACTTCCAGCTTCTAGAAGTGTGAGGCAATACATTTCTGCCGTTTAAGCCATTCAGCCCCTGGTACATTTTTCTGGCAGCCATGGGAAACTAAGACTCCTGTGTTCCCACCCCCTTCCTCTGACTTGACCCTGCCACATATGCTCAGTGGATGGTGTGAGAACTGTGTCCAGGCCATACTTCCTACACCTTCAGGCCAGGAGAGCTTCCTAAGAGGCCTTCTATCAGTCAAGCGAAGCTGGCTCAACCAGCCGAAAGCTGACTTGTTCTTTAGACAGTGAAGGATTGAGAGCCTAAACAACACTCAACATTTTGACCCATGAATTCTCTCTCTCGGATTCTGTCCTGGGAAATTGACTTGTATACAGGAAAGCTTCACACCCAGAAAGATCCACTGTGGTATAAAACCAAGAAAAAATGGGAACCAGCCAAGTGCCTACAATGGAGAGTGGGTCAGACAGCCAAGCTCTACCCACTTGATTGGAAGAATATTATCAAGGCATGTAGTCCCCTCAGAAGGAGAGTCTGACACAAGTTTCTTTAGAGAAGTGGTCCCAGGTACGGGAAAGAATGAAGGGAGGTGTGTTATTGCGTTGGTCACTGCTGTGGGCAACTGAGTCTCTGACTATCTGGGGACATTCCAAAGACCCAATAGTATGTGTCTAATTGTTTCCCCAAGACATGGAAGAAAAGACTATCTGTTTATCAAAAAATGCCCTAATGAGTATTGACTCACATGTCCAGATTTGCACACATGCTGAAAGTGGTTAATCAGACTGCTATGGTAAAATAGCTCTGGGATAGAAAGTAGGGGTTGTCTGGTGCAGCTGAGGTGAATTCAGAACACCACAACAAAGCAAAAAGTTGGGGGGAGAGGACACGAGAATAAGAGATGGCCAACACAGGTACCTAGCCATTATAAATGACATTTACAGCAAAGAGGTGATGACACAGAAAATGCTTCCGATAGCATGTTAGTGAAGAGAAAAGGGTATGTTCAGTGGGATCACATGTGCATATAAAAATCCAAAATCTGTGCTTTAAAAAAAAAAACAGGAAGGAGATATTATGCAAAGTTAACAGTTGATTGTCTCTGGGATATGAGATCATCTTCGGTTCTGCTAAATTTTCTTCTTTGTATCTTTCTGTATTTTCTAAATTTTCCTTAACTCATAAGTATTACTTTTCAAATGAAAAAAATCTCAACAGAAGTAGTCCTCACTCGTGAGCGAGCATCAGACGACTTGAAAGGCTTGGGAAAACACCATGGGCTGAAGGCAGGTTCATGGGCATGTGATCTCTGCTTGGTTGAATGCTCTGCTGACACTTTCCTGAAATTCTTACAATTTTTGAAGTAGGGATCTGGCATTTACATTTCACACTGATGCTTTCCCTTTGGCCCAGATGGTGAAGAATCCACATGCAATGCGGGAGACCGGGGTTCAATCCCTGGGTCAGGAAGATCTGCCTGGAGAACAGAATGGCAACCTACTCCAGTATTCTTGCCTGGAGAATTTCATAGACAGAGGAGCCTGGTGGGCTACAGTCCATAGGGTTGAAGAGTCAGACACGACTCAGTGACTAAGCACACACCACCAGTGATGTAGCCAGTCCCGGCTGGGCCCTAATCCTAGAATCTCTGCTTCAATCTATTTGGGGCTGGAGCAAGGCCTGAGAACTTGCATTTCTAAGGAGCTCTAGGTACTACTATTACCACTGGTTTGTCAACCGCACTTTGAGAAGCACTGTATTGGAATAATAAAAAAAAAAAAGATTGCACTTACTAAATAGTCGCCAGGTACATTTAAGAATGTGTTTACAAACCATTAACCACTTTGGAATCAGGAAAATATTTTGAAGATCAATCAGAAATGAAGATATGGCAGTGCCCAAATGAGGATGCATGTCAATGAGAAACCCCGACCTGTGGTGCGGGGACAAGGGTCCCCTTGCGGGCCTGTCCAACACGTGGCTTACCATTGGTCCATCTCTTCTTGGTGGGGTCCCATCCCTGGTCAGCTCCACTCTGGCAACAGTCTAACTTTCATCCTTCGTGAAATGGGATAAGATCCATTTCACACACTTGGGGGTGACTGTTGAAAGCCTTGAGACCCTCACTCATGATTCTCGGGGATGTGTGCCCTGGGGGGAACTCAGCTCCCTGTTTCTCCTCCACTAGCTTCTGCATTTTCCCTGGGAGCAGGACCTCAGCTCTGACCATCTGAGATCCACTGACCTGGGGTTGCCCCTGAAGATGGAACTAGGATTGGGGGACCGAGGCTACAGACCTACTTTCTGCAACACCAGTTAGAAACTGCAGGAGAGCCTGCAGGGTCCCCAGTGAGTTGGCACCCACATCCATCTTTCTGTATTACTGACACAGCTGCTGCTATCTGTCTGTCTCTGGCATTGCCCCAAAGGAGGGTCCTGGCAGCCAGAGGAAAGTGCAGGACCCTGATGTGGGAGGGTCTCTCCCTGGTCCGCTTCTCCTCCCCCATCCCCCCAGATTCGCGTCTGGTGAGATGGAAGTTCGTGCAGCCCTCCGCTGTTCTGGCTCTTCTCCCCATGGGGGTGTCATGCAAAGGAGAAGGTAACACGATCCGTAAAGTGAGCAAGCCAGACAGTCATCACTGCTAACCCAAGCAGCTAAGAAGCGAGCCTCCCAGATCAATGCTAACACCTTCTTGCATTATTCAAACAGCTCTCATAAGGGCCAGTGAAGAAATTCACTTTGCCTTGCTGGCTACTACACTAACAGGCTAACTGGGTGTCGCTTGGGCCTGCTATTGAATTGGACCTCTTTGACCCATAAATCACGGCCAATGATCTCAGCCAACAAGTGTGAGCAGCTGGCAGTCAGGAGCCTCAGGCTGTGCGGTGATCTGACACTGACCCAATTGGGTGAACTTTGGCAAAGGCCCTTTCCCTCTCTGAGGCTCAGTGTTCGATCTGCCAGGCCTGAGCAAAGGCGTTCAAGAATCCCTTTGGTCGAGACAGAACGAGGCTGCCTGGCCATGGCGGTGGCTGCCTCACAGTTTCCTGAGACATTCTGACCGAAGCTTGAGGTCAACACCCAGATATGGTGCTAGGCAAAGCGTCGCTGCCAGGGCAGGGGGCTGCCGGTGGTCCCTGATTCCCAGCCAGCCCCAGGCATTTGAAGGAGTTGGTGACAGAAGTTGAGTCCCACCAGATCCAGAGCAGCGCCTTCCTGCCCCAGCACTGGATGACCCGGGCATCTACCCTCCAGCCTTGGTGGCCCCCTTCCCCTACAGCTCAGAGAGCAGAGGGCCCAGGCCCAGCAGGCCCAGATCGGGCCCTGTGCTGCCACACCTTTGCTGGGTGAACATGGGCAAGCTGCTCTCCCATGATCCCCCTCTGTTACATAGGTATTGGAGTGGGAAGCCCATGGGGACCATTCTGCAAGTCAAATGAGAGAACTGCTGTGAACCCCTGTGTGCAGGGCCTGGCTCAAAGTTAAGCCTAAAGAGCCCACTCCTTCTTGTATGAATTCCCTGTGGCTGCTGGAACAAGTTGCCACCAGCTTGGTGGCTTAAAGCAGCACACATTTATGCTCTTACTGTTCTGGAGGTCAGGAGGCTGAAATGGGTGTGATCAGGCTAAAATCAGTTTGTCAGCAGGCTCTGTTCCTGTTGGAGGCTCCAGGGGTGTCTGTTTCCTGCCTCTTCCAGCCTCTAGAGATGGCCACATCACCTGGCCCTTCCTTGTGTCCTTCCACAACTCCTGGCCTTTCCTCATGTCACTCCAACCTCTTGCTTCCCTTGTCACATGTCCTACTTCTCACTCGGACCCTCTTCTAAGGACCCTTATGATTACCTCTGGGGCCCACCCAGATAAGCCGGGAAATCTCCCCATTTCAAGATCCTTGATTTCATCCCATCTGCAAAGTCCCTCTTGTCACGGAAGGGGACATAGTCCCCAGTTCTGGGAATTAGAATGCTGACATCTTTAGGGGAGGCCATTGTTCAGCCAACAATGTCCTCCAGCCCCTCTAATGGATTTTGAGGTCCCAGAACCAGTTCATCAGTCCCCCAGAGGTGCTTACATTAGCCTGAACTGGAGGGCAGGCTTTGCTGACTCAGTGTTTTCAAGGGTGCCCAGCAAGGGCTGCTGCCTACAGTTCACACGCATTCTCACACATGTGTACATTTACACACACACAGACACATAATCATATATACTCACACTCACATGCTAGTGTGCATGTGTACACAGATTCTGACACACACACATGCACATGCACACACACACACACCCATAGGCCAGAGTCAATCCTGCCTGCCCTCCCCTCACCCCAGAGTTCCAGTTGCTGTTCCTCTGACCCTGCCCAGTGCCCCTTTCTGGGCACTCCAGGCCAGTGGCATTGGGAGTGGGGTGGTGCAAGTGAAGATGAAAGCGTGGACTTCAGTGCCCTCCCTTTGGGAGTATTGTCCCATCCAGGAGACCTAGGACAGGATTTTCCATATCTTTCTGAAAAGGCCACTCAGTGTCTCAGCCTGCGGGATGAATGGGACACTGCAGG